TGTGTGTGCCTGTGTGTGTGTATGTACGTGTGTGTGTGTGTATGTACCTGTGTGTGTGTGTGTGTACACCTGTCTGTGTGTGTGTGTGTGTGTGTGTACCTGTGTGTGCACCTGTGTGTGTGTGTGTGTGTGTACCTGTGTGTATGTAGAGGTGTTTCCAGCAGCTCCAGTGATACTGACAGCAGTTCTGAAACAGACAGTGAAAAGAGCAGCAGCCCAGATGAACCAGCAGCTCCTGAGACATTACACACACAGGTACACTCACTCACTCACTCACACACACACACACACACAGTCTGGTCAGCTATTGCCCTACACCAACCATACACCTAAACCTACCCCTTACAGGAAACTCTGCATTTTTAGATTTTCAAAAAACTTAATTCTGTGTGATTTATTAGCTTGTTTACCCGTGGGGACCTCAATTTAGGTCCCCACCGTGACACGAGTCCCCACGAGTCTGTGTGTATTCAGGTTTAAGTCCCCACCAGAATAGAAAAACAGGTACACACACACACACAGACACAGACACACACACACATGCACATTAATATGAATGTAAATGAGAAACAGGAGCATCTTGTATAAAACTTATTATTGTCATGATGAGAAAGAACAAGCATCCTCATCCTCAATTTCTCACCATCCTAATGTGTGTGTGTGTGTACGTACGTGTGTGTGTGTGTACCTGTGTGTGTGAGTGTGTACCTGTATGTGTGTGTGTGTGTGTACCTGTGTGTGAGTGTGTACCTGTGTGTGAGTGTGTACCTGTGTGTGTGTGTGTGAGTGTGTTTAGCCACAGAAAGAGAGTGACTGGCAGTTAGGCCGATGGTTAGAAAGGAGGGATCACCAGCAGGACCCTAGGAGCCCATGTGATGTCATCAGGCCAAACTCCCATGATTCCTCTGAAAGGACTGGTTCACAGAGTTGCCATAGTGACCCGACTGATGGCAGCAAAGCGTCCGATCACAGACAGACTGTGGGGAGCAAGAACAGGTGTGAGGATCTGCTGTTAGAAAGCACTGGCGTGAAGATTTCCCAGCGTGCTGAAAACACATCCACACACAGAGCGAAACACAAGAGAAAGAAAACGGCACATCACCCAGAGCAGAAGAGAACGACAACAGACAACAACATCAGCAAACAAACAGACAGGAAAGAAACACATGAGCCGCTGCTGGTGAAGATAGAGCTGAACCTGCTCTCCAGAATCCCTCGGGAGCCCAGATCAGCTCCACCTCTCGCAGAGAGCAACAGCGCGCCAGGACGCAAGAGAGCGGTGAGCTCTGACCCTTAACCCTGCCTGACTAACTGGTTAACTAACTGTTGCTGAGCAGTACTTATGAATTTGCATCAACCATTTCAGAATATCTTGAAATTCATTCAGAATCAGATGTTCACCTGATTTTATTTATGTGACATATTTTGAGTTGTGAGTGTGTGTGTTGTGTGTGTGTGTTTGCAGATGGAGAGGGATGAAAAGTCTTCAAAGAAGAAACAGAAACTAGACAAAGAGGGAAAACAGTCTTCCTCCTCTCAGCAAAGCCTCCACCAATCAGAGTGAGTCACAGAAACACACAGCCAATCAGAGCCTGACGTGTTTTACATACTTACTTTCCACGTCTCCAAAATACATTTAATACAGGGTCACTCAAGACTTTTTTTCCGTATAAATAGAAACATATAATATAAATGTGATGATGATGATGATGGGATGTCTGTGCTTATATGTCACTCTTGGATGATTATTTTGAAAACTACAGGTGTATCAACATGATCCACCAGCCAGAAACTAACGTTTGTAAAGTGTGTTTGTGCATCTTTCCTTACAAAATATCCAGTGTCATTTATTGTGAGCTACTGCAGTGACTTTCAGACAGTCATTAATGTGACGTAAGCGTCCAGTACTTTTCTGATGCTGAGTGGAAAGTACCTGAGAGTCTCTGTCTGATGAAGCCGATCACGCGCTCGGAACGCTCTTCACTTGTTTCCATCAGAGCCGTGAGGAACAGCGACACGATGATGAAGAAGAAGAGTGTGAAACACAGGTCAGGTGGTCTTCAGGAGCCGCACAAAGACTCGGGACGCGAGCGTCACTCAGCCGCGGCTCCTGACGGCCAGCAGAAGAAAGCAGAGACTCGTGGGAAGGTACTGCAGACATCCTCATTTCTGAGTGCTTGTGGGATTTCCGCTCTGATGTAAAGAACTGTTTTTATTACACAGAAAACCTGCAAGAGCCGCAAGGAGCTCCCGGAGAAACCGTGTCCACGAGCGCTGCTGCCGCCTGATCGCAGGTGTGTTGCGCACCGCAGGCTCATTCACAGCCCACATGACTTCACTGCAGCTTTACACTGAATCACACAGTGCTTTATCATAGAGTGATGTGATACGAGTGATGAATGTCAGCCTAAACGTAAACAACGAGTGTCTTCTAGGCTCCGTCACACGCATAGTGTTTCTGTGATTGACCTCTGACCTCTGATTCCCAGGAAACTCTCAGTGGAAGATCATTTGAAGGAAGCCAAAAAGCTGAAGCACAAAGCAGATGCTACGGTGTTTATCAAGCCTTTCGTTGACTCTGATGCAGTGCTGTGTGGTGAGCTCCACGCTCGCTCTGACCGTGTTTCTCTGTTCCTCAGCCGGATAAGATGGCTAAAGCGCTGTGCTATCTGGAGGCTGCGCTGTCGTTCGCGGAGAGCGGCGTCGCCATGGAGACGGAGCCGCAGATGCCCAAATCTGCCTACACCATGTTCTCGGAGACGGTGGACCTGATCAGGTGAGAACCGATCCACGTGTTCAGTGTGTCGCTAGTGAAGCTTGCGACTGGCTCATGATGATGTCTGTTCAGGTTTATTCTGAAGCTGAAGAGCTACACGGATCCGTCAGCCGCCGCCCACGAGAGAGATTTCTGTGTCCTGTGGTGAGAACTGACACCGCAGAGATTGAGACGTAAACCTGTACAGGTGTGACGTGTGTTTGTGTGTTTGTCCCACAGCATGCGATGCCAGTCTCTGCTGCAGATGGCCATGTTCCGCTACAAACGAGATGCGGCGCTCAAATACTCGCGGACGCTCACAGATCATTTCAAAGTGTGTGATCGGCAGCGTTGTGCAGTTTATTCTCACACTGATTCAGACAGTTTGACATCAGCCTCATGGTCTTGTGTTTATTTTCAGAGCTTGTCGTGGTCTGCGTCTCCGTCTGTGTCCAAGTGAGCGTCCTCATCTCATCTCACCGCACTGATTCAGAACGGTGCTCTTCGTGCTCCTCACAGGCTGTGTTTGTCCCTTCACAGGAGTGCCGTCTCGTCTCTGGTCATTCCTCAGCCCATCCAGCAGGTGGCAGCGGCGTACGTCAGCATCACGACACTCTTCCTGAGCGCTCACGAGACGTGGGAGCAGGCGGACGAGATCGCTCTCACAGGCAGCGGTAGGTCAGAGGTCAGAGGAAGCAGAGCTGATGATGAAGATGAGAAACTCTGTTCAAAATAGGTTCAGGGTTAATCGTGCCATCAGTCCATTAAAATACTTCATTATAAGAGCTTTATTTAACTCACTCTTTCATACTCGCTTCATGTCAAGTCAAATCAGTTTTATTTGTAGTGATTTTCTTAATACATTGTTTCAAAGCAGCTTCACAGAAAATCATGTGGTTAATATTTGTAATCTCTTAATGTCTTCTGGTCACATTGAAGAGTTTGGAGCTGTGCGATAGGATCGTTTACATTCAGAGATGATATAAACCATCAGTCAGATGAGATTTGATAAATAGGATGTGTTTCAGTGCTGCCATTAAAATGACACGCACACATTCAGTGAGATTCTCTGAACATGATACACATATTTGATTTTAAACATTTAATATCTCTTAGCTATCAGTTCAGTTTTCCCCTTTTTTCAAGTTTATTTTTATTATCATGACAAATAAGTATTAAAATGATTACTTTTATTTAAAAAGAAAGAAACTCTGTCTTTGTGGAGCTGGTTTGTGCACACAAACCATATGATGTGGGGAGCAGACATTAGCAGAGCTACATTAGCAATTGGAAAACAAAACAGATGCTGAGTTGAGTGTTGTTAATTTTTTTACGGGTTGAATGGCAAATATTAATCGCAGAGTTTAAGACATTTTATTGTAGATCTTTTATACTCATTTAAAAGTGAATGAGTTGAGTGTGTGTGGATTGTTCCTGATTTTTCCTGTTTAGTGAACACAGTGGTTGTGGTTTTGCAGGTTTGCTGCGAGAGCTGGATTCAGCTGTTGGTCCTCTGAGTCTGACGTCCTCCATGAGTGCATTAGTGCGATACACACGACACGGCCTGCACTGGATCAGACTCGACACACAGAACACGCGCTGAGAGAGCCTTCAGAGCGTCACATGAGACACACACACACACACACACACACACACCCACACCCACACC